CACTCTTGGATAACCCCCAAGTGTCGTGGACTGAAAGAAACCAGCTAAGAAAAAATATCTCCTCACACAGGGAAGAATGGTTACAAGCTTGCAAAGATGTTACAGAGGCTGTCCAAGAAGCAAAGACTGACCAGTGGAAGGAAGTAGTTAATGGCGTGATAACTGATCTGGACGAAAGGAAAACTTGGAGTTTCATCAAGTCTCTAAATGGATCACCAGATACCAACTCTCCCAACGAAGTACTGAAACACAACGGGAAAAGGATATCATCAGCAAAGAAGAAAGCTGAGCTTTTTGCCCAACACTATGCAAAAACCAGTAAGCTCCAATTTACCAAAGAGGAGCGCAGAAGAAACAAACTCCGATTGAAGCGATTACTGTATGACGATGTGAACAGCGAAGATGAACAACAATCATACCCAGACTTCACCATGAAAAAGCTGGAGCGTGCCATAACACAAATGAAGAGAAGAAGTGCTCCGGGACCTGATGATATACCACCATCTTTCCTAAAAGAGCTTGGCCCACTCGCAATGAAAGAATTGCTCAGCATATGTAATTTGTCGCTTAACCAGGCAGCGTGCCCACAAGACTGGCGTAAGGCACTTATCATTCCTCTCTTGAAAGCTGGTAAGTCACCTTGTGATATGACATCCTTTCGACCCATTAGTTTGACACCCTGTGTCGTGAAAGTTATAGAAAGGATGCACGCTAATAGAATTTACTACCTGTCAGAGAAGAATGAATGGATTGCAGATATTCAGGCAGGCTTTCGCCAAGGTCATGGCTGCACGGACCAGATCATCAGAATCTGTCAAGGAATTGAGGATGGTTTTCAACAAAAGCCAACATTCCATTGATCAGTCCTAGTCCTGCTGGACTACTCCAAGGCATATGATACGGTTTGGCGTGAAAGACTATTGCTGTCAATAGCTGACAAGGGAGTTCCGTTGCGTGCAATCAGATGGATCCGTGGTTTCCTGAGAAACAGACAAGCCCGTGTTCGCCTGAATGGAGAAACAAGCAAGAGCCAGAATTTCAAGCAAGGTCTTCCCCAAGGAGCTGTACTATCACCGCTGCTGTTTATATTCTTCATAAACAACCTGGCAGAATTCCTCCCAAACCCGGACTCACAACAACTAACCTCCGCCAAGCTGATCTACTCAATGTTCGATAATGACTGCACAATACTGGCCAGTCAGGCAAAGAGAGAAAAGGCAAATGAAGCGACACAGTTGATTGTGGACATTGTTGTGAAATGGAGCAATGAAGGGAAGCTTACTTTGAATGCAACCAAGAGTGAAGTGTGCTTCTTCCCAACATGGGGGAAGGAGGCAACGTGGCAACCAATAATTCAGATCGAAGTAAAAAAGATACCTTTCAACCCCACTCCACGTCTGCTGGGCGTCTACCTGGATAGACAGCTAACCTTCAACAAGCACATTGAGGAGGTGTCCAAAAGTGCAACCTCAAAAATGAAGGTTATCGGTGCTGTCAGCAACTCAAAATGGGACTGGGGTAAAGAGTCGCTCGAGAAAGTATATAAGATGTTTGTGAAAAGCAAGATGGATTATGCTGCCCCAGCGTGGCAGCCTTGGCTCAGTAAGACTAGTGCAAAGGCCCTGGACAGAATACAAAACAAAGCCCTCCGACTTGTATCAGGTCAGCTGAAAACAATACCCACAGACGCGCTGCGCTATGAGACCAGAACTGAGCACTACACCACCTATACAAAAAGAACATGCCTCAAGTCTATAGAGATGGCTAAGACATTACCAGACAACCATCATAGAAAGAAAGCCCTTGATCAAGCAGTCAAGCCTAAAACAGCAGGAAAAGTTGGTTTCGGATGGGCACCGATCTAGCAGACCACCTCCCCCCTGAAGCAGAGAATCGATGGCCGATCAATCTGGTGAGAGCTTGTCCATGGGAGACCCAAGGCGAAATCAAAATTCGGACAGGACTGAGAGGAGTAAAAGGAAAAGGTGATGGTCCTGTAAAGGCACATGAAGCAGCTGAGGATGTGATCAAGGAGGTTAGTGCGGATGTGACAATTTTCACCCATGGATCGGCTGTCGCAGGATACCGCGAAGGTGGAGCAGCAGCAGTAGTAATAATGAATGATGAACCACCACGAACAGAAATTATTAAAACAAAAGGTGCATTCCTTACATCATCTTATGACGAGGAATGCCAGGCAGTGATGTCTGCTGCACAATGGATTGCTGACAATTGCCACAGTAGGACCAATGTGCTGATCTTGTCTGACAGTCAGTCCCTCTGCAAAGGGCTGCTGGGCAACAGCTCGGACATGAATGATTTGCGCCGAAAGTTCAGTGAAGCCAGAGCCACAATAATAATCCAGTGGATTCCAAGCCATGTTGGAATAGAAGGAAATGAGGCAGCAGACCAAGCTGCTAATGAAGCCAGAGAGATTGAAGGAAACAGACGACCAACAACATACAGAAGAGTCTTTCCAATGATCGAGAGGGAAATCAAAGACCCACCATGTAGAACTAAGTACCAGCACCTGGAAGATGTGTATTCTGGGTACTCCTATAAGAGGGAACAAGAGTCTATCACATGTCGCTGGGACCAGGTTGGTCTAGCGAGACTGCGGTCGGACCATCGTTGGAGTTTAAGATGGTATAAGAACTTTGTAAATGAAGAGCTCAGTCCATGTTGCCGAAGATGCGGCCACGAAAAGGAAGATGTCAAACATATGTTTGACTGTCCAGGAACAATGACAATTCGAATGGAGTTATTTGGACGAGTGGAGGTGCCGCTAAGCATATTGCCAATGGAGCCGAAAAAGAGCCTCGCTCTCGCTCGAAGATTTCTTCGTGGAGTCCGCCAGGCCCATTAAGGAAACAAAAGAAAATCATCATCATCATCATCATCATCATCATCATCATCATCATCATCATCATCATCAGCAGCAGCAGCAGCAGTAATAGTAGTAGTGTCATGCAATGGTAGGTTAGAGGACGCCACTGGTAAGTCCTATTTCTTTTATTTCCCTCTCTGTTGGTTCCGTCTAATCGTTTGTCTGTCTCTCCTTCTTCAACCCTCCTCCCAAGGAAGGCGCAGTGAAAGGTGAAAGGCCTTCAGCCCACCCCCCACCCCAAACTATTTATGTATGTTAATTAGTGTTTCTTAATTAACGAAACAATCCGTCGAAAGCGTTGAGTCTGCTTCAGAATCTTCCTCCTCTAGTTCATTGCGAGCAGTGATCATACGCACTTCCCACTTGCTTTGTTATCCAATCACTACTGTCACCGCTTTCAATGTTGGTAATTTAAAACAAGATATAACAAATCGTTTTGTTTATTCTTCTGGGGCGGGTCTAAAAGTTGCATAACCAACAGAATCTAGAAGTCCATTAATGAAGCTTGCGGCAAACTAGGGTTCCGATATGTTTTCCTTTGATGTAAGCTGATGAAACAATAATGGGACATTTACTGCACACACATAAAACATAAAAAATGACTTCTTTTCCTCAACCCTAGACTTTATTATCGCACGCCTATGAAAGACAGTCCAACAGACGGGTGAATGCATTTCGAGACTTACGTGGAGATGTCTTGACATTCTTGGGATGAAATCGAAAAGCAAAACACCGATAGAAGCTGGGTCAGGGAGTGTTGCTGTTTCAAAATGCACAATTTGTAGGTTAGATAACTGTAAACCATAGTTTGTTGCAATGATCCTGTGCGTGCACCCATATGGGGGATATTTAATAAAGAGCCCAAATAGAGAACCTTTTGTTCTTACTGGAAGGAGATAAAAACAGAGAAACAAACAACAACAAAAAATTTGTCATTTAATAAATCAGCTAGAATAATTTTTATGCAGACGGAAGAAAGTTAACAAGCTATAACAGCCAATCAGATGTCTATAGGGCTGAGCCCGTCCCCCCCCCCCCCAACTGTCCTTTAAAAAAATCATAAAACAATTCTGGTAAACAAAAAAAACCAACAACAACAAAAAAGGTCAACGATTACAAAATAAAGAACTTGAGAAACCTGTAATTGAACGTGAACATGCCCTGTAAGTGTAAGCCCAGACAATGTGATAAAAGTTCACAATACACTTTCCCCACACACCCAGTAAACGACACGCTCACTGGACCCTCGCCAGGAACGTTTAGCTTTCTGCGACTTCTCACGCACATACATAAACAGACACACTTATATTATTCACGCTCACATTATTAAGGTTTTCTTTTGAACCGAGAAAATCTTACATTTGATTTCAACCCACCCTCATTTCTGAGCCCCACACACAGTTTACCCATCCAACGC